GTTCAGGGGCTTAACTTATGGTTTTGCCAAATATAATTTCTTCGAAGTAAAATTAATTACTAATTACTAATTACAAGAACTATATTTATCAATAAATCAATATTATTTTATAAATCAAATTCAAAATTCAAATTTTAAGGTAACATCTAAAAAAATTAATTTATTTAAATATATTAAACTGATGTAGGGATGCATTTTTAAAAATTGTTCTAGGAGAAACTAATTTTGAGAGATGCGCAAAAATTAATCCGAAGAACATCTCACGAGATGATGTAATAGTGTCCAAAATGTGCATCGAAAGGTCCACATGAGCTAGAGAAATTCAGATAATGCCTGCAATCTACTTACGTAACATATTTCATTTTCCATCAAAGAATTTGAAATATAAAGATTTTAGGGACCGTGCGGCCCCCCAAGGTCAAGTATGGAGCAGTCTCTTTTTTCTGTCTCTCTCCTCATTGTGTCTCACGTCTCAGTTGAGACTCATGTGGGAAGACCGGCATTGGAGTCGTGGAGCTGCTCTACAGTCTTCATTAGTCTTCATCATTACTAATTTTTCCATCTTCATTTCAATTTTTGATAATGATGCATTGAAGCTGCTCTAGCGCCTCAGTCGTCATTATTTCTGTTTTTTCTATTTATTTCAATTTTAATAATGGTATAATTATAATATTACTTAAACTGTAAATTTATTTTAATTTTAATAATAAAAAAACACTAAAACTAAATTGTTAAAATTTCATTAAAAAATATTAAAATATCTTTATTGTTAAAGCAAGAATGAGATTGTTTTAACACTACTGGAAAATTGGGCAAAAACAACAACAACATATTCGACGGTTGAGTAGCTGTCGAATAAAAGGATATATTTGACTATATTACTGTCGAATAAGGTTGATTGTCGATGATAATCGATTTTTTGGCTCATAATCGACAAAAAACTTATTCGACAATTATTCTATCGAATACATGGTTTTATTCGACAGCCAGTTGGCTGTCGAATATATATAATCGACAGCCAACAGGCTGTCGATTACTGTCGAATATATGAGAAACGTAGTTGTTTCCCCTGTATATTCGACAGCAATGCTGTCAAATATACTCGACATTAACCCCCCGTCCCCCTTCTTTCCCCCATTTCTTCTTCTTCCTCTGCGGCAGATCTGGTTCTTTTTCTCTGGCCCTGTTCTTGCCGGTGCCGTCGGATTCTGGCTTCTTGCCATCGAGCCCCCTGCTATGTGATCACCTCTAAGTCGGTGAGTTGGCCCTTCTCTGCGCAGATCTGGTGCTAATTTTTTTTTTCCTTTGATTTAAATTCGAGCATTTGCAGATTTCTTTGTGCGTTTTGGTGCAAGATCCATCACCTCTAAGCCTTCGCGCGCCTCCATCCTGCCTTTTGTAAGTTGCAGCACTCTCTGTTTTTTTTTTTTTTTTTCATTTTTTTTGTTTCTTTCTTTATTTTTTTTCCTTGGATTTTAGTTTACAAAACTTTAATTTCGTTTTTGGTATGTCAAAATCCAGCTTTTACTGCCTTCATTGCCTCCACAGCATTACCGTCTCCATTGACAAAGGTAATTGATATTTCTGTGATTTTTTTATATAAAATTTTATTGTTTTATTTGTAGATGAGTGTAGATTATTATTATTATTGTATAAATTATCAGTAAATTACTGTTATTTCTTTCAAGTTTTTGAGATTGAAATTCGTACGTTAATTACTTACTTGAATAGTTTTTTTATTAGTAAATTTTTATATACAAGGTTATGGATTTCAGAATATTAAATTTGAAATTAAAATTGAGATTGATGTTTAAATATCTTGAAATAGAGTAATGATTATATTGAATTTTATAGTTGCATATAGTCATGTATTTCAAATTAGCTCAATTTAAGAGATTGAGATTGAGATTGAGATGTACATTATTATTAAATTAAAATGATATTTAAATTGAATTTTTATATATCAAATTATTAAGATTAAAATCGATATGGTAATTAAACTAGAGTACTATTTATATTTAATATATATATTT